CTGCCGACTCTCTGTTCGAGGCTGCAGATCTGTGTGTGTGTGTGTGTGTCTGTCTCACACTAAAATAAGTATGACTGTGAGGACATTTCTCAGGTCCTCACAAGACAAAGGAAAACACACTGTGGGTCAGGGTTAGGCAGTATAAATTACATTGTAAGTCCTCACAAGTATGTGTGTGTGTGTGTGTGTGTGTGTGTGTGTGCAGTCTTGTGAGGACCACTGCTCTGTAAACAAACTGATGGTTCATGTTCAGCTCAAACCCTGATTTTCTACTTTGAAAACTTTGTTTTAGTTTTACTGTATGAAGAAAAGACACAGGTGTGTTTGTGTGTATATGTATGATATAATGTGTGTATTTGTGTTGTATCAGTAAATATCTGTTATCAGTCATAACATTAATAATTATATTTAAATCAGCTGAAGTGTTCACATGTGTGCCTCCTTATTTGTTGTTTTATTTGCAGAATAAGTTTATTTGCTGGATGTTGTCCCTGACCTGCTGAGCTGCAGGAACTCTGAGTCCTGATTTATGGGTCAGGTTTAGTTCAAACAGTGAAGAAAACACCTGTAGAAAAGTTTATTGTCAGTCAGGTTCATACAGCACTCAGTCAGACCACAGGCCTATTGCACMAATCCAGGATAAGGGATTAASCTGGGAYTTAKTTGTAAACCTGAATTAATTAAGCCTTGAATCAGTTCCATGACAGAGGAAGCTCTTATGTTTCTGTGTAACAAGTGATCTGAAACTAACCTGATCAGGTTTAAAGTGAAGATTATTTAATCTTMTACAGTAGAGTCATTTTACTGCAGTAAACTGTTCCTCTAACCAAGTTTTACTGTCTGATATCWGATAAAAACTATTTTTATCTTGTTTTTAGACCCATATACTRAACAAGATCAGAATATGTTGGATTATTAATCTTGTTAATCTGAAAAGTTCTTTATTTCAACAAGTCTTACCAAGTCAAACTGCAGATTATTAATTACTGTTCATTAGAAAAGATTCAGAGTATAATCTAGTATTTAAACTTATTTTTAGAAGCCTAATGTTTGCAGTGTGGGATCAGAAATCAGTGTTTCTGACAGTTACTACATTTATTCTGTTTTACATTAAAATATTACAGAGGAAATATATTGATTTAATTTATTTATCAGATTATCTGTGAAAAAGCTTCACCTTTACACTAGTGTCAGAGCCTGACATGTCATTATTCCAAGTTCCCCCTTCTGCTGCTGCACCCCCCGAACTGTCTGGAGCCCCCCCATCAGCGCTCAGCTCTGCCAGACCTCCCCCCAATTATTGTCCCGTTTCATACAGCCATCATTTTAAGGCAAAGAGTTCAACTGTTTGAGTTCATTTAGTTAATCTCAGATAATTTGCAGACAGATTAAAGCAGTTTTTATTTCTGAAATGATGACAGCATCAGTCGGTGTTTCTCTTCAGATGAATCATAATTAACCATTAACCTGCTGGAGGAAGTCAGACTCACCTGTCTTACTGCACATGTCTGATCAGGTAATCTGTCATCCACCCAGTGGGTCCAGTAAACAAACTGTGAACGTGCATTAATCCCAGATTATTTACAGCTGGTTTGAATGAGCGCAGCTTGGTGTTTGAGCAACAGATCACAGCTGTTTACAGGTTGAAGGTTCAAGCTCAGCTTACAGCTCAGATCCTGGATTTATTAATCTGACTTTGTGCACCTGTGGAGCTGAAACCAAACAACAGCTGCTCTGAGCAGGAAGTCGACCCTGAAGCTCCGCCTCTCATTAGAGACACACCTGCAGTCAGACTAACTCTTCCTCCTTCTCTAACCCTCCTCTTCCTCTGCCTGTCTGTGGCTGTCCTCCAGGTGAGACGGTGTCTCTGGTGGACGTGGACATTTCTCGCAGGGCGGGGACATGTCTCCACCCCCCCACCCCGCCGCCCCCGCCCCGCCGGAGCCTCAGTCTGCTTGGTACTTCCTCTTTTCCCGTCTGTCACTTCCTGTTCTGTCTTCTGCTGTGTGTGTCTGCTGGCAGGTAGGCCCGGTCTTTACCCAGGTTCTGATCCGAACACRTTAGATCTGTTTTAGAGCCGGCGCCACGGGGGTCCGTGTGGGAGACCCAGAACACTAACCGGGCCGTGGTGCTGACAGAAGAGCAGAAATAAAAACGCTTCTTTTCATGAACAGGAAGTGAAAGTTTGGTGGATCTGTTCTGTTGGTCCGGTCCGGTCCGGTCCGGTCCGGTCCGGTCCTGCAGAACCTCCTCTCAGGTGTGTGTCTCCTCCTGCAGATGACTTCGGGGGTCCTCCTCAGAACCAGGGAGCCTTCATGGAGCGGACCGCGGGCGCCTCCATGCAGTCCCTGCCCCCCCGGCCCCTGGCCCTGCCCCCCTCCCTCAGCGCCATCCAGCACAGCCTGAGCCTGAACGGTACCAGAACCAACCGGGCCTCTGAAACCAGAACCGGGCTTTTCATTTTATCAGCTGATCTGGGTCATGTGGTTCAGTCAGGTTCTGCTGGTTCCACTGCTGGTCCAGTTCTGACATGAGGTCCAAAACTTGCTGATCAGAACCACTTTAAAGTCTGGACCATTGGAGGAACCCCAGGATTCTGGACCAGAACCACACCTGGACCAGTTTGTTCACAGGTGTCCTCTTTTCTTTGGACTCTGCAGACACCTTCCTGAGAGGTCTACCCCGACCGGTACCGCTGCGGCCCGACGGCCAGAACCCCCCGGCCCGACTCGCCCCCCGCTGCCCCCTGAGCCGAGCCGACGCCGGCAGCTTCGCCACCAGCCTGAGGGAGCTGGAGAAGGTGTGGCCTGTTCCTGCCAGGGGGCCAGGGGGAGGGGCTTATGTGTGTGCTGTAGGTTAGGTGTGTGTTTGTAGTGTGTGGGGGCGGAGCTTATAGGTGTGTTTGTAGTGTGTGGGGGCGGAGCTTATAGGTGTGTTTGTAGTGTGGCAAGTGAGGGGGCGGAGCCTAAATGTGTGTGTTTGCAGTGCGGCTGGTGAGGGGGCGGAGCCTAAATGTGTGTGTTTGCAGTGCAGCAGGTGAGGGGGCGGAGCCTAAATGTGTGTGTTTGCAGTGCAGCTGGTGAGGGGGCGGAGCCTAAATGTGTGTGTTTGCAGTGCGGCAGGTGAGGGGGAGGAGCCTAAATGTGTGTGTTTGCAGTGCGGCAGGTGAGGGGCGGAGCCTAAATGTGTGTTTGCAGTGCGGCAGGTGAGGGGGCGGAGCCTAAATGTGTGTGTTTGCAGTGCGGCAGGTGAGGGGGCGGAGCCTAACTGTGTGTGTTTGCAGTGCGGCAGGTGAGGGGGCGGAGCCTAACTGTATGTGTTTGCAGTGCAGCAGGTGAGGGGAGGAGCCTAAATGTGTNAGCCTAAATGTGTGTGTTTGCAGTGCGGCAGGTGAGGGGGCGGAGCCTAAATGTGTGTGTTTGCAGTGCGGCTGGTACTGGGGTCCGATGAACTGGGAGGACGCTGAGATGAAGCTGAAGGGGAAACCAGACGGGTCGTTCCTGGTCCGGGACAGCTCGGACCCCCGGTACATCCTGAGTCTGAGCTTCAGGTCTCAGGGCGTCACGCACCACACCCGCATGGAGCACTACAGAGGTACCGCACACGCTCAGAACACGACCCGCTGCCTGTGGACCTGGTTGTGACCCGGTTCTGTCCTGCAGGGACCTTCAGTCTGTGGTGCCACCCTAAGTTTGAGGACCGGTGCCACTCGGTGGTCGAGTTCATCGAGAGAGCCATCATGCACTCCAAGAACGGGAAGTTCCTCTACTTCCTGCGCTCCCGGGTCCCAGGTAGGCCCGGCAGAACCGGCTGACCCGATGCTCTGAAACAACAGAACCAGCCAGTGACCTGGCTCGGTTCTGACCCGTTCTGTGTGTGTTCAGGTCTGCCCCCGACCCCGGTCCAGCTCCTGTACCCGGTCTCCAGGTTCAGCAGCGTGAAGTCTCTGCAGCACCTGTGCCGGTTCTGCATCAGACAGCTGGTCCGGATCGACCACATCCAGGAGCTGCCGCTGCCCACGTACGTACCTGAGACAAGCCCCGCCCCCAGCACGCACCTCTGCACACAACCACGACTCAGCAGTTTAAAACAGGAAGTGACCTTTGACCCGTGTGTCCTGCAGGCCTCTGATCTCCTACCTGAGGAAGTTCTACTACTACGACCCGGAGGAGGAGATCAGCCCCCCACCGCCGGAGGGCAGGGAGAGCGGGTCGGACCCCGGGTCAGAACGTGGGCCGGACCGCAGCTCGGAGCAGAGTGGCCCGCCGGGGGTGGAGTCCCAAACGTAGCACCAGAACCAGAGACCAGGTGAGTCCATGTGCTGAACTCTCAGCAGGAGGTCCGGTTCTGAAAGGTCTGGACTTTTTTTTCCTGTGTTTGGTGATTGACAGGTTCTGCAGTTTTTTCTGGTTCTGGTTCTGGTTCTGGTTCTGGTTCTGGTTCTGACCTTGTGTTTCTGCTTCAGGTCTTCTCTTCCTGTCTTCACTTGATAATCAAACCGGACTCTGACGCAGCCAATCAGCTCCCTCCGCTCAGTCCCGGACCCGGGCGGGTTTCAGATGATCCCCCTCCTCTGATTGGCTCGCAGCGAGTCGACAGCGGGGGGGACGTGGGATGAGGAGACTCCGCCTCCTTCTGATGTCATCGCTGAGCAGCTGGACTGACGGTGGCAGTGGGAGGACTCTGAGAGAACTGGACCCGTCTGTCACCTCCTGGACCCGAAGAAACCAGGAGGTTTTTAATTGGGTCGACCCGGTTCTGGAGCCAAACCTTGTCAAATCAAAGGTTCTGTTTGTTTATTTCTTCCTGTGGGGTTCTGATCCAGCTGCAGATCTGAAGACGTGCAGGAGCCACAGGTGGACAGAGGGGGCGCTCTTAGACCTGCTTTTTATCCAAACTGCTTTAAAAATCATTTAAAGTTTATTTAAATCAAAAATAAACCTGAGATTTAAAGATTTAAACATAATTTAATGTAAAAATAATAAATCAAAAATAAACCTGAGATTTAAAGATTTAAACATAATTTAATGTAAAAATAATAAATCAAAAATAAACCTGAGATTTAAAGATTTAAACATAATTTAATGTAAAAATAATAAATCAAAAATAAACCTGAGATTTAAAGATTTAAACATAATTTAATGTAAAAATAATAAATCAAAAATAAACCTGAGATTTAAAGATTTAAACATAATTTAATGTAAAAATAATAAATCAAAAATAAACCTGAGATTTAAAGATTTAAAC